ATTAAAAGACGGTGATAATGTGCATTAGGAATTCTTGTGAAGTGTTTCATTTTATTGCGGTTTGGATGCCTGGCTCTATACATTACCCATTGTCTTTCTAGTGTATCATTAGTTGAGGAATAATGGGATAACAGTTGCTGCTGCATACACAGACCCTTAGATTCATTTGTTTTATACAGTATGTATCAGCAGGACTCTGATAGCTCTTCCAAACTATTTATTATATTGCACAATTTCAACACTCTATAATGAAGGTGTATAAAAAATGTAAAGCAATGATTAAAGTCAAGTCAAAGACGAAATTAAAAGCAAATGGTTTAACTCCTTTTTGAAATATGGTCAATACACCCTTCTGTCTTTTAAACGAGTCATTAGAGTTCCAATCGATATAATTACTTACATCTACTTCCAAAAATGCATCAATCATAACATTTGTAAAACAAATGTCATTATGTCAAAGCTGCAGTAACTACAGAAAAAAATAACTTCACTATATTTTAATGAAACTGTCACTATTGACAGATAATCTGTAATAATGTGTAAAAAAGTAGGTTACATACAATTAAAACAAATTACAATTAGACAATGTGGCCCAAACTGTAATATTTATGGTCACATTTTATAGACTAACATATGCAACATGCTTGTTGTTGTCATTATAATCCAGCTTTTTTAGATGTTATCCTTACTCTATTTTTTCAAACAAACCCCTGATGTTGCTGCCAGAAACATAAAAAAAGTTTTTTAGCTCTTCATAAGAAATTATTTTAGTTTAGTATGCAAAGCCACTTTCAAATAGCAATTGATGTTACATTTTACATAGGACCATTTCTAGTGACCTCTCTATGTCTGCCAGCTGTATTTTTTGCAAATATTTGTATGGAATAAATCAAAAGAATAAAGTCTCTGCTAAAAAATATATAAGAAGAACTAATTATAAATTAAATAACAAATAATTGTGATGATGCAAATTTGCAACAACTTTTTGGTAGTTGCCATCAATTAGCAATGCTAATGTACAAAGCTCATGGTACCACTTTCTAATAAGGCATACTTTTATAAAAGGTTTAAAAGTTGTATCAAATAAACTCATTTTAATAATCATATTAATTTTTAATCAATGACTTACAGAAGTAATAATCCCTTAAAAAGAACTCACTTTATGTTTTCGGCTATCCTCCTGTACACGTTTTTGACTTTTTTGCTACCTGAAATTATTTGTTTACTCACAGACTAGTTCACACCAAACCAGTCCTTCCAAGGACACTGAGGCATGAGGAGTAGTATGCATTGTGTAACACTGATAATGTTCCAGTCAAAGGCCCTTCTCTTCAGTGGAGTGGTCGCAGGTTTTTAAAGAGCTTCCCAGAGCTAGTTTTTACACCCCAGCAAAAGATTAATAGTACGCCGCCCTTGAAAAATGAAAATCAAAGGTTTCAAAAAGCTCCTAGGGATTAGAGTTGGGGAGTCTGATATCAAGCCCAGTTTACTCTTTATGATGTCATTTTCTTTTATGGAGGAAGCAGGGGGTGAAAGCTCAAGGCAGATATGGGATCCAGGTTTGGGGGTAATCTCCCATATACCACAGTGCATAAATCTGCTCCATTGATCTCTGGAATCATGCTTCTATTGACAAGAGCGAGTCTCTCTTTTTGAAAAGTGATAACTGTGCAGGGCAGTCCCACTAAACATTTATGGATGTCATTCCTGCCTTGGTCTGGGCCCCTGCTCTGTAATAGCTTTTAGCGTCATGTAACACTCCTACGTGTGAGTGAATGCGCAAATGTGTCTGAGACCCTGCTGAGTAAGTTTACGCTAGCCGTTAATCATTGTATGGGCCAGCTGGCTGTAGCCACTGGGCAGGTGGGCCTGTCAGGTTGGCAGCCTCAATCATGCAGCACTGAAACCAGAGCCCTCAGGGATGACCATGCCCCGGGTGTCTCTGAAGTCCCAAGTCAACTGGCGCTTACCAAGTGCTATTTTGACTGATACTTTAGATTACTCTCCAGTGTGTTGAACTTGCCCAAGTGCAGTAATTAAATCCCAATAAACAGATACATAAAATTGAAAAGGAAGACATGATGTTTTTATTTTGTCTCTGGTTTCGTAACAGTGAAACATTAGTTGGATTCATTCACTAGCCTGTGGAGCTGAATATCTTTCTCCTACACTGTAAACATGGTCTTGACAATGTGCAGTACTTTAAAGGGAAATTCCAGTATTTGTCAGCCTTTGTCAGCTATTATTTGTCATATTTTTGTCTAATATGACTACTGGTCATGATAACATTTTACTCCATTGTAGAGTTCAAGTTAAGAGTAATCAACTCAAACACTTGTCTTTGAGTATGAAAAGCAAACAAAGAACAGGAAGCATGAAAATCCTGTAACCAGTGCAGCAATTTGCATAACAGCAGATTTACTACCTGGTCAACTTGCTAACTGACTTACCTGCCATTTTAATGCATGTGAGGTTGTGGCTTGCTTTCACTGTAGCTCACATTATTAAGGTAGGGAAGTTGTAGCAAACATGGGACAATGGTTTGAGTATATTTACAAGGAACACACCGTACATATAGTCGAACTGGCCATCGGGAGCACTGGGAAAAATCCTGCTGGGCCAGTCTGTTTAAAAAGTCCAGGGCCATTTTTCATTCCCAGTCTGTCCCTGAACATACAGTGTTCACTGACACGCAATAAAGTTGTGGCTAGTTGCTTTACTGTACGACTGCTGTGCCGTTTGCTACAAGCGCTACAGGTATTTCAAGAGGACTATATTTCTGTTTTTACTTTCAGTCAGAGTCAAAGACAAGTGTCTGAGATGACTGCTGGAAAGCTGCAGGAAACTTGAGCTCAGCATTGTTCTTGCCAAAGTCAGCATTTCCCAAATCTCTAAAATGAAGGTGGTGAGTAAAATGTCATCATGGTCAATAATCATAAAAGGAAAAGAAAATACAGAGGTTGAAAAATACCAGATACGAGGCTGCTACTTATAAAGACCTTACCTAATGTCATATTTGATATAATAATTTAATATAATATGAATGTTAACTACCACTAACCTACTTTAAACTATGAACTCTAAAGACACCTAAAGATTCCTCATCTAAAGGTCTTGTTTCCAAACCCCCCTGACATCTAACTAGCTCACTGATGGACAGAGGGTCAGAGGTGTTTAGCATTTTCCACTGTAAGTTAACACTAAACAGAGGGAGAGAACTATGCGGCCTGTTCTTCCATCCATCGCCCTGAAGTGGCTCTGACAGGCAAGCATCTGTACCCCCAGGAGCTGACAAATCTCCTGTGAACCAAACAGGAATGCTGAGACCCCAGATTAACACTGTGGCCCACGATGAGGACGTTCTGTGGGCTGAACTTGAGGACAGTTTGGAGCATTAAGGGTTAAAACGGTTGTCTGTCCAATCGAGGAGTTTAATACACATCCAACTGATGATATTGTGTTGTTGTTGTTAACTGTAGATGAGATATTGTTTTTGTTGATGCTGATTTACTTGTTTCCCAAAGCTCAAAACTGTGCTACTTAAAGGTCATAACACAATAATTGTCTTTGTTGGGTAGCTCTTTTGTGGCATTCTGTTGTTTCCATCTATTAAATGTCAAGGATTATCTGGGCTGTGTATATTTACTAAAAATTAAAGAGGCTCTGTGAAATCAAACCAGCGCCAGTCCATGGGCCAAACTCACCTTCACAAGTAAAACTCTGTTTACGCAGAAAGACGAAAATATGCATTTGCATTCTTTTCGTCAGATTCACAAAACTGCGTGTATGCCCGGTTTTGTTATCGAAATGTCAATCGTTGTGGAACTGGTACGTTCACAAGCCTCATTTCCACTTCCACAGTTATCAATGACTAGAAGTAGAAAGGCCTTTAAACAGTTTTCAGATCAACACTCCATCCACCACTCATTAGACCTATCAATCAGAAGAATGACAAAGATCTGAGTCCCTGATTCTGACACGACCATTATGCTCGACTGTGGCTATTCATAGATCCATAGCACTAATCTGGGGTATAGCACAAAACTGTGGACCCTGTATGTAGGCATTCTCTATGGGCCCCTCTCCGTATCCATTCTTGTATTCGAGTATTCATTCTAGTATTTTCTCTCCTCTTGTCTAGTAACTCTTCACATTAGGGGCGTTTATACATTTTCTGCCCAGTTCTACGTCCCTGCCACTAATTCATCACATGTGCCTGTACGTGTCTGATATTTCCAGTATGCTGTATTTTGTAGTTTTCTCACACATTTGGTGCATGTTCTGTCAAATTGATGATTATTTATTAGAGCTCATTTTGAAATAGACTTCACAAAGTGTTTTAAAATTGAATCAGTTAGCTTTAGAGGTGCTGGTGCCAGGGTATCTGTTTCCCCTGCTTCTTGTGTTTATGCTAAGCTATGCTAATATGAGAGTGGCATCAATCTTCTTATCTAACTCCTGGCAAGAGAGTGAATTAGTGTTTTTTCTCAAAATGTCAAACAATTCCTGTAAACCACCCAAGTGAGCACTTTGTAGCATTTGTGTTCTACCTTACACATTCCTACCTGACACCTTCACGTGTGCATGCTTAAGTACACACAGCTTGCAAAACTCATGAAACCTCACTACTGTTCTGTGCTGGGAGATCACAAGATGAATGATTAAATCAGCAATGAATTAGCAGCTCCAGTGTGCTGGGAGCATGTTGGTACAGTTTATAAACGGCTTGAAAACAAACCAGCTTGGCCTTTCTTGAGTTTCACACGACCATCAAACTGTCAGGTCCAGGCACAGGCATCTACCCTTTAGTGTCTCCTCATCCCTTGCTGTGCCAGTAAATTCTCTAAAGAGCAAAGACTTCTTTACTGCAATCTTTTAGTGTTACACTGACAGCTACCACAGCCCTCCTCTTTCTCTCAACTTACATGCATATAATAGCTTCTCTTGTAAATCTTTAAGAGACATATTAATTAAACAGCCAGGGATGATGTGCCACTTACCTTTCAGTCTAATTTTGGTTGAGAACACTGTAAAAAGAGATGGACACATAGTAGTTCATATTCCTCTGCGCAGTGTTTGTTCCTTCACCCTCATTTCAGCACGAATTCTCTGCGACTCACAACAGTGATAACTCACCCTGGTCTTGATATTATCTCCTGAGCCCAGTTTCTCAGGGAAAGTTACAGTGAAATTTGTGATCCTGTGTAATGAGAGTTGAGGGTGCCACAAGAAATCACAGCCATAAAGCTAGGCGCTGTAGATTATATTGACAGCATACACACATGCACATTGCACACATATTCACATCACTCACAGCTCCGTTTCCAGTCTCCTGTTTAGAGCTGCGTTCCTGTGGGCAAGATTTATAAAAACACCAGTGACAACACGTCCTACTTGGCCTTTAAGACCTACATAAGTGGCGCTGTGCTGAGGCCAGCTGGGTATTAATAGCTGGCATGGGAAAACATAAATTATTGCTCTCTTACCAAAAATGTCATTCAATCCCTACCTCTACTTGTCAGGCTTGTCCTCCTGAACTGCTCAGTAAATCAAACCATATGTTCTACCCCAGGAAATATTCCAAATCTACAGGCTCAGCAATTGCCAAATCAACTTATCCATCAAACCCCATGCCTATCAATTTGAGCAAGAGAGTAATTGTTTCTCTAAAGGGGCCCATGTCCTCCATGCTGCCCTCTATTCTGTAACTGGCGTCTACTTTTCCAACTGTTAAATTAAGACACTTTGTCTTTAAGGCATTCGTTAGCTGCCACATCCTGTTGTCCAGCCTGTCACAACACCGGTGTTAAAAACAGATGCCCAGGGCCTATTTTGAGCAGGGATGACCTGGGGGTCAGTTGAGGATGAGGGCAAAGTGTGAAGGAAAGGACTGGCATTGTGTGAACACAAGATCACCATGCAACTCGCATGGCCTCAGCTGTAGTTCACACAGTCGGGAACTTCAGATAAAGGTGAGGGTGTATTTCAACTTAAATCAGCCAGTTTGTATGTTGTTATGAAGCCGAACTGTGTTCTGTTATACAGAAAAAAGAAGGAGAAAAAAAAGAAGATTTACTTTGTATACAGTGCAGTTATGCAATTAACCATAATTCTGATTCGATTAATACTGGTGTCATTAACAGATGTAGCCCATAAATCACATTGATCTAGTTTACATTTCCTCCAATCATTTTGAAATACATATAATTTGTATCAGTTGTTTTTTACAATTTACTGATTTTTTTATTAGAAATTGGCTGAACCCGACCTTTTAAACCACAAATTCAATCTCAAGTAGAATTAAACTGTATTGTTTACTAATAAAGTTTGAAGTGACATATTTTTAGAGATTATTTCCATGCAAAGAATTCCATTCCCTCATGTAGGTGACTTATTGGGTGACAGTGATCACAGTATGTATGACACATTTGGGCACGCAAATATTCATTTTAATGTTTTAATGGGAGGAGAGGCAAGAATAGGGGCAATGCTATATTGTTGTTATTATCAGCATTATCTAAAACTAGACCTATGTCTTAAATTAGGCATAAAACACATTTTAGCATTTCTGGCTCAAGAATAAAACATTCCAGTATCCCCATTCTGGTCTTGCTGCAGGTTATATGCACTCTTAAAATCATCAAGAGCAACTGTTCTTTTAAGAGTCAAACTTTTGCATGGGAAATGAGGGGTCGTTTTAAATGCAGTTAGCACTGATGACACCCAGTGGAATTGTTTACCTAAATATGATTTAGTGATAAATGAACTCAAATGTGTCATCGTCCTCCGCTCCATGTGTAAATCCTCTCGGTATCACTGCTGAAGCGGTCACAAGGATAGGAACGGATTCCCTCGCTGGCCTGTGAACATCTGCTGGGCCATTTAGCCAGCTAATAGATCTGCCTGGAAAGAAAAAGAGAGAGAGACAGCAGAGGCGGTGCAGGTGTTCCTGGCCAGAGCCAGAAGACATCAAACCAAAACCCAAGGCCAAATCCACCAGAGCACAAGCTGAATGACTCACAGCCTCTCACAGATAATAAAACAAGCATAAAGTTTGCTTAAGGTACAGGTGGGGGTATTTTGCGCCATACTCAAGAGAGATCAGGCACCAGCGGGGTACAGGGAGAAAGGTAATTGGATGCATATGGGAGGAGGTAAATGAAAGAATTTTGAGAATATCTCCGTGGAATACCTAATGGGGACAGGACAGAAAAGGAAATTAAAAATTATTCGAAGCAGATGGACTGTTCTTTGAGTTTTTCAGGGAAATTTATTAGTGCCGCGAAAGAAATGTGTCTGTTTATTTTGTGCTGCCATGAAATGAATGACCTGCTGAGTTGTGCTTGTGTTAGTTTATGACTGCCTGGCCATTATTCATAATTTAGAATGCATTTGTTATCGATTCATGATTTAGTGTGATTTATTGGTGCTTGTCAGGTTTCATTCAAAACTCCACCAGTTTTATTTCAGCAGCAGGCCCAGACTTTATGAAAAATATAAACAAAGTTGGGCGATGTGCGGATACAGTTTCATTTGTACCTCATTACATAACAGCCTTGGCTGGATTCAAATGGTGCCTCACTGTAATTCATTTGTTCCTGTTATTTCCTTATTGCCAACAACAATAAAATGAAATGTTCTAGAATACAATATCAGTCAAGAAACACTTTGTAATGGAAATGTTGATGGGAAAACGTCAAAATCCCTCCAAGTTCAGACAGTGTTTAAAGTTCAGTGTGGTCAGGTAGGAACATAATATTAACAATTGATCAGGAACAGCAGTTATGTATTATGCGCCTATCCCAAGAGGATTTGTTAGGAAGCTGTTTTGTTCCTACAGCAAGCATCATTAAATCTACTGCCTCTGGATGTCTGGTAACATAAAGGTTAGCACTGATATTAACCCAACATATGGTTCAAATTTGGAAGAAATATCTCAAGATTAAAAGTCTCACAATATAAATGGGTCGGCTCAAACTGTTTAAATCATATACATTCTGTTTTAAATTCAATCTTACTAATAGGTTAACTTTTAACTTTCTAGCTGATAGAGCAGGGTTGTTTTTTTTTTATCATTTTCACTGTCACATCAGTTGTGCTTTGTTCCTCATGAAGATGAGCAGGCTCATCCAATATAATGAAACTGCAGTGGCAGTAGTTTCAGACTTGTAGTTTGAAACCAACCTGCATTGGATTTCGGCTGGAAAAGTTAAAGTTTAAAACACTAGCTGCACAGTAGATGTTTTTAATGACTGCTGTTTTTCTGTCAGTCTGTGCTTTTGGGCTTGCACATTTCACATTTTGAACCTGCAAAATGTTTTGTTAACTGGGTAAAATTTTCTGTTTTAAAAATGTTTTGATGGCCATGTGCCTAATTGAAAAAACTTAATGTTAAATAAAATAATTACTTAGTATCATTGGTAAAAACCTGTGTTTACCCTACTATTTCATGTCAAAAGGCTGCTGTGAAAACGGTCTAGTATAAAACCTCAAAAAAACACAGAAGAGATGTTGTAACACTGATTGCTTGCAGGTTGCTTCCTATAGGTGGCACAAGTTGGCATGTGTAGGACTGCTCTGACAATGGACCTTTTTCACAAAAGACATTTTGACTTGTCATAACAGGAAAAGCACAGGCATTGCCAATACATTTATTTAAAAAAAAAAAAATTCTATTAAATTTTATTTGTATAGCACCAAATCATAACAGAAGTTATCTCAGGGCACTTTTCAAATAGGTCTAGACAGTACTTGACATAACAATGGCACTGTTATTTTAGTAAGTTATGGCAGTGTGACAGTGTGACAGTGAGCCAGCATGCACAATACTGAATTTAGCCATCACACATTTTATTATTTACACCTGTGCTCTTGCTATTGTGACATGTGAAAGAAAAGGGCGTTTGACCAAACGGCTGCCCTTATGCAAGCTGCTAAACAAGAGTGAGCCATTTCTCTGAGGTGCTCTGCATCTAAAACCAAATCAAAGGATAAGAAGTACTCAGTTTCACTGTAAACACACTCAGACTGCACATTGTGTTACAAGTAATGATAGAGTTTGTGTTGTGCTACTCTTTAATGTGATGTTATATAACAAACACATCCTCTGAGGGAAAGATTATACCTATATTCGGGGCAAGTGGTGAGCCAAAAGCAAACTATACACCTTGGTTAGGACCAGATGTACTATTGGACGTATGAGACCCTGAAAGACTTTTCATTTCTTTACAGATAAAAAATGCACACACATAAAAAAACAACAGACAGAGAATCATCTGAATCATTCGCCTCCTCTTCATATGTGCCCCTCTGAGCTGCAGGCCAAGGAGGGAGATATGTTGTGAGAATTGTGAGAACAAAAACAATTCTCACCTTGAGATAAACAAGAGGCATCACCGAGGCCCGCTCCCTTCCTGCTGTGCTCAGTGAACAGTTCCATCCAGGACAAGGAGGAATTCAACCAACAGTGGAGTTCAACCACTGTCAGTATAAATAAAAAACTAGATCCAATCAGTTCTGACAAAGCAGTGTGTAATGGGATTTGATGTCTGTGGGCGTAGATGAGGAGACAAAGTTGGAATCAATAGAACAAATAAAACAGATCCTTGAAGCAAGTATCAAAGAAAGAAAGAACTCATAAACTTGTTTGCATAGTTGAAGAAAAGCTTTGTTCTCTTGCAATACAACAAAATCATCCAAGTATTATTTTGTTTAGTGAAGCTCTAAATGTCACATTGCCTAAAATAGTAATGCTCTTAGGAACAATTAACATTTCACTTAACTTGAAATTTTATCAAAACCAAATTAATTCAGGCAAACGTAAGAGCAGTTGCAGCCCGATGGTTTGACTTGTACGAGTATCTCGAGCAGTAAGGAGACGCACCTCACATCACTGGACTCTGCCTGTTTCATCTGGATCAAAACCGAGCTGTACCTTTCAAGTCTCAGATCGGCACAACTGACGGAAACAAACAAAACCCCCCCTGACAGCTCAAAAGCCTTTCTGTGTCTGTCTGAGGTTAGTGACGCTCTGCAAGCTGACACATGGTAGAGGAAACAATTGCTTCATTAGTAAGAGGTGAAATAGTTTCAAAAAGACCTCGTTCGCTGCACTGAGAGGAAATTAATAGGCTCCAGATTGCTGCTTCAAGTGAAGTAAATTAAGTTCATGGCTGACAAAGTCATTTGGTGATGGAGCTGCTTCTCTGTGTTTTATAGGTCTTTGGCATTGCTGACGAAAAGGGCAG